TCCTCAGTACATGAATAATGGGTGCTCTCTAATGAAAGTGAGGGAATCTTTTTTATAGAATAAGAGCTTACTCCTTAATACATAAATAATGGGCCCGCTCCTTGATGCATAAAACCGGAGGTCTTGGAACAACGTAAATCCGACCGTGAATCTGCAAGAAATGTAAATAACACAAGATGTATCGTGGTTCACCCCAATGTTTTGGCTACGTCCACACTGATTATTGTATTTATCTGAGAGGTGAACGAGAGAACCTCTGAATATGAGAGGGGATGTGAGAGGGGTGAAAAGGCTTAAGAAATGGCCTCCTCCAATTGTGAGGGTGATGAGTCCTTTTATAGAATAAGGGCTCCTTGCTTATTACATATTTGCCCCTTCCTTTATCATATAATTACATTTAAGTCCCCCGAGTATTTGTATGAGATCTAAATACGAGGCCCTAAATATGCTATAAATAGTAGTCCACCAAGTCTTCAGTCAAAAGAGTCTTTTAGTTGGAGACTTGAAATTCAGTCAATGTATGGGTCGACGTAACTAGATGTTGTCTTGAACTGATGTTCGATATGAGGCGGTGCTCAATCTGAAATGAGTCTCAACTAGATGTAGCACATGTTGCGAGGCTGTTTGGCTTGTGGCTTATGTTGCATTGGTTAGCTCGGCTTGTGGAATTTGAAGGTGAGGGAGTCCCTTTTATAGAATAAGGGCTCACTCCTCAATACATAAATGATGGGCCAGAATCGATACTCGTGGCGAGGCGGTTGCTCAGTAGGCGGCGATGCTCTCTAATGGTGGTGATGGAGTCTTTTTTATAGAATCAGGGCTCGCTCCTCAATACATAAGTGATGGGCTAGAGTTGATGCTCTCTAATGATGATGAGGGAGTCCCTTTTATAGAATAAGGGCTCATTCCTTAGTAAATGAATAATGGGTTAGGAGTGATGCTTGCGGCGAGGCGGTTGCTCAGCTGGCGGCGATACTCTCTAATGAAGGTGAGGGAGTCCCTTTTATAGAATAAGGGCTCGCTCCTCAGTACATAAATAATGGGTTAAGTCCCCCAAGTATTTTTCATAAGGCCCAGTTAAGGCCCAATATATGGTACATAATGTAGTCTCCCAAGTCTTTGGTCAATAGAGTCTGTTAGCTGGAGACTTCAAATTTAATCCATGTATGGGCCGAAGTGGCGGTTGTTCGGAAGCGGTATTTGTATACCCTGTACTGAAGCTTTGCAAGTGAAGCTTTGAAGCTAGAGCTCTGTAAATGAAGCTTTCAAAGCTGGAGCTTTTGTAAATGAAGCTTTTGAAGCTGATTGACATGAGTGATGCTCATGAATGTTTATGTTGATTGACATGAGTGATGATCATGGATGTTGTTATGAGTGATGCTCATGAATGTTTATGTTGATTGACATGAGTGATGCTCATGGATGTTGTTATGAGTGATGCTCATGAATGTTAACATGAGTGATGCTCATGAATGTTGACATGAATGATGGTCATGAATATTTATGTATGATTGTCATGAGTGATGCTCATGAATTTTTATGTATGAATGACATGAGTAATGCTCATGTATGATTTGGAGTACTGGGCATACTTTTGATCACCTGGTTGGTGGCATGAAGGAGAGTACGGGTTGTAAATTTCATCAATTGGTTCGTGGCATGAATGGCTAGTTGCCAAATGATATTAGAGTACGGGTTGTACATTTCATCACCTGGATGGTGGTAATAGTGGCAGGTTGCCGAATAATTTTGGAGTACTGGGCGTACTTTTGATCACCTGGTTGCCGAATAATTTTGGAGTACTAGGCGTACTTTTGATCACCTGGTTGGTGGTATTTTGGGCTTTTGGGCCTTCGCCCTCTACACAACATTCCAGCCCATTTATTTTGGGTTTTGCCATTATTTTTTTTATTATTATTATTACCCTTTGATGGGGTTTATACAGATGTCTCCAAAAAATAATAAATTACATCATACAAAAACAATAAAAGCAAATCACATAATTCTTTGCTTTTGCTTTCTCTTTTGCTTTCTCTTTTCTTTTCTACTTTGCTTTTGTTTTGTTTCCTCTTTTGCTTTTGTTTCACATGTGCTCTCCTCACTCCTCCTCTGATTTTTCTGTCGGTAGGACTTTCCCTCTTTTCAAGGCTCACTGTTAACCAGACTAGATTTTGCCTCCACATTGTGGGTAAGAAAGTGCATGACCTATGTGCTCTCGTCGCTCCTTCTCTGATTTTTGTGTTTTGGTTTTGGTTTCTCCATTTACTTCACCTCTTTATGTCTTTATACAGTTTTCAAAAGCAGCTGGATGATTAAAGAAAGCCATATCTAACCTGCTTGTTGAAACCAAGGATGATGATAGAGAGGAAGCAGGTGGTGGTTGCCATGGCAGCTTTGCTGCTACTCTTCAACCAGACTGGACTACACACATTCATCTTCACTGAACCTTCATGCATTGCAGATTTGCTCAAAGAGCTCTCCACCAGCTGCATACTCCATCACAATACCAAGTTGTGTAGGAGTCAAAACTACCTCTCTGAACCAAATGATCTTTGGATGACGAAGTGATCTGTGGTTTATGATTTCCCTTGCCACATTCTCATCAATCTTGTGGCCGCGGTCGATGTATTTGGTGGCGACAAGCTCTGTGGGCTCTTTGTTCCTCATAAGCCTGGCCACCCCAAAATTCCCAGATCTAATATCCTTGACAACCTTGTACTTTTCCATTTTCTATGTTTGATTTCTTCTACTTTTGCTCTTGGGGTTAACGAGTAAAGGAACACAATTTGCGGAAATAGCATCGGGAGCAGTCGCTGGAGTCGGAGCAGCCGCCGAAGACTTGTGCTTCGACTTCTTGCTCTTGCTGGGGGTCGGGGCAGCGACCGACTTGGGTGGAGATGACGTCGGAGTGGCGGAAGATTTGGGGGTGGCAACCGGAGATGGTGACTTTGGGCTTAAGAGCTGCAGCTGGTGTCGAGATCGGGATTGTGGGGTTGTGGATGAGGGTGCAGTAGGAGGACCGAAAGCTGAGGGGAAAGAGATTTGATTCCCTAGGTTTCCTGAATACGAACCCAAAACCCAAAAAGCAACGACTTTTATCTTCCCTATGGGCTTGTGAGGAGTGTTTGAGATTTGGATCTTTTATGTTTCTAGGTTTTTGTGATTTTGCAAATTCACGGTGGAGGTGAAAAAATGAAAGAGAACCGACAAAGCTTTTCGTATCGATTCCTACAGACAGCGCCGAATGTTGATGCACAAAACCGGAGGTCTTGGAACAACGTAAATCCGACCGTGAATCTGCAAGAAATGTAAATAACATAAGATGTATCATGGTTCACCCCAATGTTTGGGCTACGTCCACACTGATTATTGTATTTATCTGAGAGGTGAGGGAGAGAACCTCTGAATATGAGATGGGATGTGAGAGGGGTGAGAAGACTTAAGAAATGGCATCCTCCAATTGTGAGGGTGATGAGTCCTTTTATAGAATAAGGTTTCCTCACTTATTACATATTTGCCCCTTCCTTTATCACATAATTACATTTAAGTCCCCTGAGTATTTGTATGAGATCTAAATACGAGGCCCTAAATATGGTATAAACAACTGCCATAAGTAGAATATGCACTAGGAAAACTTAACCGTCTAAGATGCATGTGTAATTTATAAGTAATTAGTAAAATTACATAGGATTGTTAAGGTGACGGCGGAACCCTAGTGCTTTCATAACTTGTTTTTAACCCTTTTGGCGCAAGTGGTAAAAATCCTATCATGTCACCCTGATAAATACCCAAGCTAGTGTAGAGGGATCTTGAGAGTTCTTGTAGGGAAAGAAATCTTCATCAAATTGGGAGACTATCTTGGAGGAAATCTAGGATAAGATACCCAATCTTCCTAAAATCATGATTGTATCACCTAATCCCTAAGATATTCTAATTTGACCTAAATTAGGTTTTCTTACTTGGGAGACAAGTAATATCTTTAATGAAGATAACGCAGCATGTATCGAACAACTCAAGAAGGGCTACGTCAAAGGAGACAACACCAAGCACAGTGACAACAAGAGTATCAGAAGATTGAAGTCAAGCAAATCTGTTCCCAAGACAACCTGGTGGACCTCTTCTCCAAATCACTGCTGAGGACGACGTTTCAGAAGCTTGTTGAGGAATAGGTATGTGTAAACTTTCTGAGTTGTAACATTGTTAGTTCTCTTTGGAATTATGTCAAACTCAGAGGGAGTATCCCGAAGTATACTCGCTTGATCTTAATTTACTCTTTTTTCTACGATTAGGAGCATTTTGCCCTTTGGGTTTTTGCTACCTGACGAGGTTTTGATGAGGCACCCATCCTGGGTTGGTCATATCCCTCATATATGTCTCATAGACGTGTCATTTGACTTTGCACTCTTTCACGCACTTTTTCTTCGACTATGGGATTTTGTCCCTCCTCGGGTTTTACCATAGCCATTGGGTTTTTGTGAGAATTAGTTCCATATGCAAGTTCCTTTGTCTGAGACTAGGTGTTCCCATAATCAATTCCAACAAGTCGTTCCTCAACTCTACCTAATGACAAATCTACTTAAGTATTTACACACTTAAGGAGGAGTGTCATAGATATTATAGTAAAGTGTGATGTGTAAATCCTAAATAGATTTGATTACTTGTTCTTCTTTCCCTACTAGGATTGTATTTCCTTGGAGGACAAGGATTCTTATCCTCCTTATTACTATAAATAAAAGTACTGCGTAAGAACATAACACACCTCAGAATATCACATATTTCTCCACTCTCTCTCCCTTACCGCACCCCTCCAACTTTTGTTAGATAAATTGGCCACAACAACTTTGACTTGAAAACATAGCCTAAAAAGTTTATACTGTGGTTTCCTTTTTGTGGGTCATTTTGAAAGTTGAGTTTTGCTTTACAGTCTTTATTTAAAGAAAATTTTAGTGGATTACTATTTGACGCGTAAATGCATATATGATCAGTATTTCCAATCATGGTTGATTGCCAATATCATTTTCGATATTCATATAAACAATATCCACCACACAACTCCAATGTCACCACCCAAATGTTGTATCTGCATATTTTCCAAATACTAAAATGTACAGCTATATAATAGTACACTAATTACTTTGAAGGATTAATGGCATTTAATTTCACCCTTATTTTTATTCTCCTAAATAATAGCGATTGAACGTGCCGCTCTGTATTTTGATCACATTGAAAATCAAAACTTGTTCCGCCTCTGATTGTCCGCCCCTATTATTCAATATTTTGGTAGTGATACCTTCAAACACAAACACAAAGAATGCTGAACTAATGCGCATTGCACTGAATTCCACTCATCAACACTATAATGTGTATATATTAATAATACTTAAAAGAATAAATTATCCTAAATCCTAAAACTATTCGGACATGTAGCACTGAAAAGAAAAACTTTTTTCACTTATATAATAACATATAATAACATATGGCTTACTACTCTGTGTTTCGGAGACATTAAAATCTCTCCTTAAAGAGACCTACCTACACGTGCCTTTCTCCACCGTTTCAGCCCACCACGTACCCCTTAATTCATCTTCTTCTCTGCACCCAATACAAAGTTCCACACGCATCCATCTCCATCTTCTTCTTTTTCTCATATATAAATGGTTTCTGGGTTCGTCAAAACAAACCTCAAAATGTATGTACAACTAACATATAATTAACCACACCGAAACCTTATAAAAACAATTTTAAACAAAAAATACAACGAAAAAGTAATGTCATTCCCACTCATTAATTTGTGGTGTTGCATTAGTTTATGTGTGAGTTATTTAATTAAGAAATAAAATATTAAATTTGGAGTGGAGGCTAACAAATTAAGGGAAGGCAAAACTGTAAGGAGAATAGGGAATTCTTCCATTTTCATCTCAATTTAATTTACATCTCCCGTGAATAAGGAAAGTACAAAAAAAACCCACACCTTCAGTCTCAACCAAATCAACCCCATCTAGAAATTTAATTAATTACCAAAGTCACAAGTAATTAAGTTAATTACTTACTCTCTGATTCGAGTGATCTGAGGCCTCATGCATACTCTCCCTGTTCTCATCAGTAACTTGTACCTGATGCTGATCACTTCCATCACTACTTCCTTGCTTGTTGTCAGCAGTCGTCTCACTCACGTTCACCCACTTTTCAGTCTTTTGGCTACAGCTACAAGTGTTGTTAGTATTGTCGCCAAAAGATGAAGACCTACTTGACGTGGGTGTGGCCAAGAAAGTTGGCTTAGCGTCTCCGGCCATGATCACCAAGATTTTCTCTTCGAATACCGGCGGGACTTTCTGGGCGGACTCGCCGCCTTCTCCGGCTTCCAGGTCCCGCTCTGATCCGTTTTCATGGTTTTCGAGGTAGCCGGAGAGCCTCCAGTAGGAGCATGCTAAGATCAGAAGCGCAAACGCAATTAAACCCAACATGGCTGCCAGCCCACCGAACAAGTAGGGCACCGGGGAATGCCACGGCGACCTCTGTACCGTCGTCATCTCCGGTGCTCTGGCTGTCACGTTAAAAGGCTCTCTCCCTGCCATTTTAATTGAATCAAATGTGCGTGTTTTGAACTTTTGATGACGTTATTTTTTCAGCTAACAAAATGTTTGCAAGAGAAGCAAATCAAGCCAAAGATAGAACAGATAAGAGAGAATTGAGGGTGTTGTGGGTTGAGAAGTAGAGATGGGGTGGGTGTTATATATAGACAGAGCTAGGGTGGTCTAATCTGTGGGAGTTAAGCATTTTTATTTTGTTTTTGTTTCGAGATTAATGTCGTCATTTTGCATGAGGAAGGGGTGGGGTAAAACTGGGTCCCTCCTTGTTCCTTGTTGGGATACTTCGCTCATCTATGAGCACACTAAAAACGCACTCAGGGTTAGATTTGGTATTTAGATAAGTTTTCAGTAGAGAATGTAATCATGGAACGTTTGGCAACAAAAAAAACGAAAATAAAACAAATGAAAAGTTATCTATTTTGATATCCGTGTGCTGTGTGTTAACGGATATGGAACAAATTAACATACATGTTATCCTACCGTACAATTATGGTACATTACGCAGATTAATCATAACCATTAAACTTTATGTATAGAGTAGTTTTGCCAATCACAATCGTTTATGAGCCTGGATGACTATCAATTATTGATGGAAGTGAACAGTGTCGAGAATTTACATATACGACAGACATTAGTCTCTTTCCGTATTAGTCCTCGTATCTTTTGCCTGAGAAATGGACAAAAAGATCAGGAGTTACATTTGTACAGTAAAGTTTGCAGGCGTTTTGTAACTTGGTTGATGGGAAGGGAGGGTGTATATTGTTGTGAGTGTGTAGCGCATTGAAGAATACAGTAGATGGAACATTATATTGGTATAGAATAGTTAGGATAATATCATATAAAAAAACGCTTTCATTCCATCATTGGCTTTGTCATAACTGATCACTCAACTTTGTTGACATGATGATGCATGCGATCATATGTTTTAGGAATGCTTTTTTCAGTTGTAATCAGCTGGGAATAAGGAGGACCCTACAGATTAAGTAAAACAACATAATTCATCCAATATCTAACTTCCTCTACTTGTCTTGATACATACATACATACGTACGTACATAAATACATACATACATATATATATATATATATTTATCCTCTATTAGTTTGTTAATTTTATAGTTAAACTAAGCCATATAAAGAAATCCTTAAAAAGATAGTTCAACGAAAAATATATTTGCATAATAAGCAAGCGGCGGATTTCGTTGGTAATAAGTGTTCCTTTCCAACTTATTGCTTCATGAGTTCAAACCATATTCGTAATGTTTTTAAAATATTGTTCAAAATTCTATTAAAATATGTACTCCATGCTAAATCTCCAACCCATAACATCAAACATCAATATAATTCTTTTGGATACAAACACAATCTCGTTACTCTAAACAATACATAATCACACAATTGGGACATAAATTGCAATAAATAAAATCATTTCGATGTACAGCCTAGCCAACCAATATTTGTCTAGAATTGAGTTCTCCAGACATCATGGTAGTTGATATTTTAATAAGTGCATGGTAGGACCACAGCAGGACCTCATAGACCGTCTATAAGTACATAAGAGGGTTGGAGTATTACTAGCAAGAAAAGGAAGAGCTTTAGCAATGGGGGCCATGCACAAAAGCAGTAGTTCTGAAAAAGAACAGGAAACTGCTGCTTTTCTAATGGCTAATATTTGTGATAAACAAGGAAACGGTTTTTGGCTGATGCATGTAGTGTTACTGCTTTAAGTTGATTCCAGCGTTTGCTCACACGCAATTGGCACTTCCCCCTCTTCTTTTTTCTGTCTTTTTTTTTTTTTTTTTTTTTTTTTTTCTGGCTTTGTTCAGTTTTCCGCAGCCCCTATACTTTTAAGTTAAAGATTTAGAAAATGACAATTCTTTTTCTTATTTCCGTGTCATTTGCATACTCTTTTGGGTTCACTTCAATAATGTTTATATCCTTGCAATTATAAGAAGATGCATATATAAAAAGATGACACAAGTATGTAATTTAGCAATTTTTTTTTAAAGTGAAATGGAGAAAGATTCAATGAGATTAGCTGTTCAGTAATGGTCGCGTGCAAGGAACATACTCTCCTCTAAAAGATACAAGTGGGGGATGAAGTCAAAACCCGCAAAAAAGATAAAGATCAACGGCAACGATAATATGGGAAAAATGGAATATCACAAGCATGGGCAGAGCCTACAAATGCCCGAACTATAGACCACCATTGATAAGCATAGTTTTATGCCGCAAATGAAGGTAAAGTATATGCAACCTGATCATTTCCTTCTCGATAAATATGTGTACAAATAAATCATATATGACGAAGTCGCCATAGATAATTCTTCCATTATATCATAAGAAACCAAGATATCGTATGAAACTTGAGATAATTCTTCCTTTATATCATAAGAAACTAAGATATCGTATGAAACTTGATTTCCTTCTCGATAAATATGTAGCATATATATGTGTGATGTTTGCTGATTTTTTGTTATCCAAACTTTGAGTTGCATGCCTTTTGAGTTATATCCTACTTATAATTGCTCATGCACATAATATACATATACATATATGGTGAATATCATCAGCGTGACTCAACTGGTTTCGTGGACATGTATAAACAACTAAACTAATTAATAAACAAAGGAGAGGGTGGAGTCTGGGACCCAACAAGAAAATGATCGGTAGTAGTACAACATTATTTTCCCACTATATTATGTTTTCCCTGCTAGTGGCAAGTCTTTTTGTTTGCAACTGGGCATTGGATTAGTGCTAGAAGAAGCCAATGGCGTGCAACAGCAACCTATATACACCAGCACATAAACACTACCTTTATGCTTTGTCTAATCTGAGAAATTTTAGCATACAACAGTGGATGACTACTCGTAATTGGGCACATTCTTAATGGGGTCTCACTTAACAAGAAATTGTTTTGTAGAACTATCATATGGTTTTATTATTGGACGTGTTATAATATGAGTAGACAATATTGACATATCTAACTTGTAGATTAATGAAAACAAATTCTTACACACAATTCATTATGAATGGAGAACAAAATTGATATGTTACAAACATAAGTCATATTTGTTTGTACCATACTTGACCAATCCCGAAACTACTGAGCACCGGTCAACGTTATACCGTCAATGACCCATAAGAGTTTTCCTCCAACCAGGAGGCCAATCATAGCGCGACACGTGTCGACATCAAAAGCCAATCACAGCGCGACACGTGTCGACATCAGAAGCCAATCATAGCGCGACACATGTCAACATCAGAAGCCAATCACAATACGACACGTGTCAATGTCAGAATGAAACTAGAAACTCTCTTCTATAAATAGAGATCATTCTCTCACAATATTTCCTAATATCATTTGTACTAAATCATTCACTAGTACTCACAAAATGAGAGCTTGAACCTATGTACTTGCGTAAACCCTTCACAATTAATGAGAACTCCTCTACTCCGTGGACGAAGCCAATCACGTACATCTTGTGTTTGCTTCCCTGTCTCTATCAATTTACATACTTATCCACACTAGTGACCGGAGCAATCTAGCGAAGGTCACAAACTTAACACTTTCTGTTGTACCAAAGTCCTCGCTGATTTTGTACATCAACAATATTAATTAATAAAAAAAATACATGCATGTATTTACAATATTTCGATAAAAATAATACAACACCTGACTGTATGGAATAGAAAATTACTCCCAATTGGCAATGTTTGGAGGGGTCGCACCTCTTGCCCTTCCTTCGTCACCCTCCACCACCCAACGTACACGTCAATGACAATTGGATATTCCTCCCAAAACGATACATCCCACTTTATTCAGTCTTTCGATATTATTATTGCATTTCTTAGTCTCTTCTCTTCCATTAGGATTAAATTTTATCTTATTGCTTGTTTATGTTAATGGCCAGGGTTAATGGAAAATAATTGGGACGAACAAATCCGAACCAAATCCCACTCCGGAAGTGATGATGATATCATTAGTATATATGTGTTGGGGTTGGACCATACCAACTTTTATTTAATGATGTTATAACATTAGAGTATACTAAACCTACGTATCTCTCCATCTTTCTTGTAATATAGGTTAAACTGATGTTCCTTTATCTCATTAGTCCTTGTTTTGTATGTTAATAGCATGCTTCCCCCTTTGAGTTGGAACGTAGGTTTGCTGCCCGCTTTTTACAGTTCAAACCCTATCACATCCCAAAATTTGCTCAATAAAAATCTTGTCAGAAGCTGTTTATCTATTGACTTAATCAGATTTAAACCCCCTTTTATCAAACACTTGTGCTTTTCAGGATTTTGATTAAGGTGTTTAGGCACATTAGGCCATATCAGCATTTCACTGTTTATCAAATTAAAAATTATTATTGTAATTTCAAAATTAAAATTTTATATATTACTTTCAAAGTGTTTTAGTTGTGGACAGTTTTTTAGGAGATAATCTTGGTTTTTCATTCAAAATATTTAGGAAGTTTTAACCAAAAGTCTGCAGTACTGTTCACTTTAACGAAAAATTACATTTTTACACTAAAAAGTCAAACATGGTACTATTCACTTTATTCTTTATTTTGTCCTTATCGTTAAAACTCAAAGTTTCCAAGCTCTTTTAATTACTTTTCCTAAATATTTATCTATTATCTCGTTTATATATTTTTTTCGCACAAAATATGATTTACTCGTAGAACTAAAATATAGTTTTTGTTGTAGGCCTATTCGACTAAACTGTATTTAGGACAGAGGGGGAGAGAGGTTGGCGGCAATAGAGAGAGAAGAGAGAGATGTAATTCTAAGGTGTGTGTTGTATTACCCCATTGTGCCTTTATTTATAGTAGTAGGGAAAGTTAAATCCTTACCCTAATAGGATTACAACTCTAATAGGAATTTAACTACCAAAGAGAATATACAAAGATACTCCTAGATACACTAGGATTTACACAATCACATTTCTAATCCAGTAGAACTGCAACACTCCCCCTTGAGTGTGTAAATACTTAAACAAAACATCGCATCAGATCTTCAGCAGATAAGGTAGAACAGTTGATGAAGTTGTCGACACAACGGGTGAATGTGAGTCTTAAATTTAAAAGAAAGTATGCACTGGTAGTAAAACTCACAAAACTTCGATATG